GAAACCCAACAAATTCTCCAGGGTAACAACACGTACACTGCGCGGTTTAATTTCCTAGTTTTAATAAAAAAAAAAAAGAGTTGATGAGGTTATGTAAATTTAAAATCCACTCCAAAATAAATAAAAATATTTTTTCCGAGGCACACGAATTTTAAAAAAGAAAAAGAAAAAGAAAAAAAACTGACTCTTTTAGTCAATCGCCTTCTTCTCTAGTCCACTCTCTAACAAACTGCACAGAAACCACCACCCTCTCTCCCTCCCTCTCTCTCTACACTGCCTTTCCCCCGACATATAGAGAGAGAGAGATCCTTCGATCGTCGCCGGTAAGTTGATTTCCTTATCCTCCTCCGATCAATTCCCTAGCTTCGAATTCTTACTTAAATTTCTTATCTCCACACTTCGACGCTGATCTCTATATTTATATCGTCGTGATTATGAATGTTCGCTTCTCTGGAATCGGAGAGATCTAATATTAAGCCTGTGATTATCAAATCCACAGGTTCGGATTTACTTCTCATCTTGTTGTTGTGGTTACCGGAAGTTATGGATCAGGTAACTCAAGGTGAATTGAACTAAAAAAAAATTGAATCTCATAAAGTTAAACATTGATCAATACTAATGCAGTACGAGAAAGTAGAGAAGATCGGTGAAGGAACTTACGGTGTGGTTTACAAGGCACGTGACAAAGTCACGAACGAGACTATTGCTTTGAAGAAGATCAGGCTCGAGCAGGAGGATGAAGGTGTACCTAGTACTGCCATTAGAGAGATCTCTCTATTGAAAGAGATGCAGCATAGCAATATTGTCAAGTATGATTATAGTTTGTTTGAATTAAACGCAGCGTTTTTGGAATCTGGTGAGTGAGTGATGTTTTTTTTGGATGGTAACAATGCAGGTTGCAGGATGTTGTGCATAGTGAGAAGCGTTTGTATCTTGTTTTTGAGTATCTTGATTTGGATCTTAAGAAGCATATGGACTCGTCTCCTGGTTTCTCCAAGGATCTTCATATGATCAAAGTGAGTAGCTTGGAAGATCTTCATATGATCATATTGAGGTGTTTGGTTGGTTGGTTATAATGCCACAAATTTCCGTTTGATTAGTCTATCTTGATCTGTTTTGGTTACGCTGAGTATTGTTGGAATCTTGAGTTATGTAGTGTTATGTCTCGTTGCGGCTTTAGTAATCAAGAAGAGTTGTTTAATCTACTGTTTTTTTCTTGCAGAGGTATCTTTATCAGATTCTACGTGGCATTGCGTATTGCCACTCTCACAGGGTTCTTCATCGTGATTTGAAGCCACAGAATTTGTTGATTGATCGCCGCACCAACTCACTAAAGCTTGCAGATTTTGGACTGGCTAGAGCATTCGGTATCCCTGTCAGGACATTTACTCATGAGGTGCCTAAGAGCTTACTTAATTCTCGTTTATATGTTTTCGTTATCAACTTTTTTCGGTATGGTTTCATATTCGCTCTTGAGCAAAAGTGTAACCACTACTCAAGTGTTATCCCACTTTTGCATCTGATTTCAACTAAAAAGGACATTTGCGTTGACGGTAGAACAACTATGTTGGATTAAAAAATAACTATATATCACTGATTCATTCATATTTCACATCTCTTCATGGGTCATTCACACAGTTTGTTTCTCAATTGTTCCTTGTAGGTGGTTACTCTCTGGTACAGAGCACCAGAGATACTCCTAGGATCTCATCATTACTCTACACCCGTTGATATTTGGTCTGTGGGATGCATATTTGCCGAGATGATCACCCAAAAGCCCTTATTTCCTGGAGACTCCGAGATTGATCAACTCTTCAAGATTTTTAGGTTTCGTAACTAACTTCCTTGATCCAGTTTTCTACTTCTGAATTCATTCTCAACTTGAAATCTAATTTCCAGAGACTAGTAAGTATAGAACACTGGTATTGAAGTGTTTAACTGACTATAAACCTCTTACCGCCATGTTTTTCGGTGTTCTTTTTACCAGAATCATGGGAACTCCAAACGAGGATACATGGCCAGGGGTAACTTCGCTGCCCGATTACAAATCTGCTTTCCCTAAATGGAAACCAACGGTACTTCAACTGTATTCATTCACTTCTATATGTCATTTTCAGTAGACAAAATGTCATAACGGATTGTGATCCCATGCTTTTTTGTTTCTCTTCTTATACCGCAGGACTTGGAATCTTTTGTCCCGAATCTGGATCCCAATGGAATAGATCTCCTATCCGTAAGTTCCACTGATCATATGCATGTAAATTCTACACACACATACAGCCTTTAGGACTAGAAACCGTTTGTACAGTAAAACCCGTGAGCTGTTTGACTAAACCAAAACCAGAGATACTGGTTTTTGTAAATCAGAAGTGCAAAACCAAACTGGTCTGAAACATGAACAAATTTCATTAACTGGGATTGGTTAAACTTCTAAACCCAAAACAGGAAAGGGCAAATCAACTTTTGGATATTTATCATTAAGATTTAATGGGTTCATGGTGCAAATAAATATGACAATGTGTCTATGTGCAACAGAAAATGCTTTTGATGGATCCCACGAGAAGAATCAACGCAAGAGCTGCACTGGAACATGATTACTTCAAGGATCTTGGAGTCATGCCTTAGAAAAGGCTTCAGAACCTGTAATCTCCTTCATTCACTATATATATTAATCCTAAGAAAACGAATCAAATACGATAAGTGGCTTTTGTTTTGTGCATACTTTTTTTTTGGGAGTTTTCGTTTTTTTTTCTTCTTCTAAGCTTTTGAGATCATTTTCTTGTGTATCATTTTTTTTTCTTTTTTAAAGTTCAGTATTCTCTTATATATGATTTTATTTTGCAAAATCTCACTTTATGCCACATCTGGTGATCATTATATAATCCATCTTATTGTATGTTTTTCATCAATTTGAGTGCGAGTCTGACATGAATCAAAGGTTTGAACAGTTGCATACTCATTATGTATACACATTAGATTGAAAGGATATCTTATCCATATTCAACCTTTCAATCTAATTAAAGTGTTTGCAATCAACTTGAAGTGCAACTTTTTGATTAGGCTGTAAGATGGATAAGAATAATTTGTGTATTTCTCCAACAGGCTGATTAAATGTCCGTTCGTAATTTTAAAATTCGAATACTTATTATTAATTATATATATACTTATAAAAAAAGTTTACTTAAAAACTTTAAAATAGCATAAACAGAATCGCTGGTTGGACGTCAACTTTCGTAAAACAGTTAATAAATATAATCATCATGTATAAATTCTCCTAAAATATAGGTACCCATTGTCAATGTCATAACTCTAATAATAGATTAGCCTAAGAAAATTAAAGTTGATATGTGACAAAGAAAGTGTTATTCATTTATGTATGTTAACTGATTTATGTATGTTATTCATTCAAATAAAATTTATGAATTCAAGAAAATTTACTAGTTTCTAAATCTAACCTAAGTTACATGAGCGTCTATGCGAAAGCGCAAGCGAATCGAAGCGCATAAACAATATTTTTCAAAAAAAAAAAAAGTGGATTCGAGTTGGAAACGTATATTCATATATACTTATATAAACTAAATGTTTGAAAATTATATAAAATATATGGATAAAATTATATGATTTAAATTTAAAACACAGAACTTATTCATTTATAATAATTTTAAATGATTTCATATTAAAAACTGTAAAAAATGCCCATAAGTTTATAAGAAATGATTATATTAAATATTTTTAATATTTCGTAAATAATAGACACAATATAGTTATAATATAATAATTTGCATCAATCAAGTTAATTTTATTAAATTACACTGCTAATAATTGTACTATATGTATGTATCATAAGGTTGTATATTTGGATATAATTTACAATTTACAAAAAAAAAAAACTCATGAAAATTTAATTTTTAAAATCCATAAAAATGTTAATGACAGAACTATGGCATGATCAATTTTGGTATGACAAACAACCCCTTGTTGTTGCATTTATCAACTGAAAAGAGTTGGTTCGATCGAGACTGCTTTATATGGATTTACGAAGTAATTCCCTGCATATCCCTCAAACACTCCTTCCAAGCATAAACCTTGGTCTTGTAAGTTACCATGAATCTAACAACTCTCATATCCACATTTGACGTTTAGCTATCTTCAACCCCCGTGCGTTGCTTCTTACTTAATAATACTGAAAGTAAGCTATCAAAATTTTCATGATCCAAATTAGAGAGAATATTGAACATTTATTTGATACTATTGAAATTGTAAGAAACACTTATTTCGGTAATAATGTTTCCTATTCTAGTAAAGCTAATATTTAGGATTTATGTATTTATATTGCCTTAATCTATCTATAACATTATTTAAGAAGTAAATTTGCTTAGTTGTCATGTTCTCCTTGATTTTAGTTAAATTTGTTTATTTATCTTATTTAAATAATTTCATATACAATTTATTATTTAATAAAAACGAATTTCTATTAATAATATTATTATTTTAAAATAAGATAATTCTTATGTATTATATTGCTATCTTTAAAATATATATTTCTATCATAGAAATTAAAAATTAAGTTACAATATTAATAGCTAAATATAAAGAAAGCAATGCTGATTTATCATATTTTAATAATTTCATATATAATTTATTAAATAATAAAACGAATATATATAATAATACTAGATTTTATTTTTAAAAAAAGATAATTCTTAAATATTAGATTGTTATCTTAAACATATATTTTCTATTAGAAAATTTAAGTGAATTATCTAATTTGTAATTTCTCCATGATTTAGATAATTTAGATTATTTTTCATATTTTTAATAATTTCATATAAAATTTATTATAAAATAAAAACGAATTTTTATTAAAAATTATATTTTCAGAAAATAAGATACTTCTTATGTATTATATTGTTATCTTGAAAATATATTTTTTATATTAGAAATAAAAAATTAAGATAGAAACAAATATAATTAAAATAAATTAAAGAAACACATTTGTAAAAATATTTTGTTATGTGAGCGTTTTCATTTATAATTAATTTTAAAACATAAATCATAACTTATTATATTGGTTTGAATTAATAAAATATAGACTAATAAAAAATTGTACGAAAATTATGCCCGCATGTGCGGACAAAACACCTAGTTCATGTATAAAATAGATAATGATAATTGTTAAGAGAATAAATCACTGAAAAAGGAATTGTACAAGCATCATCCACAATTGATCAACAAAAAACATTGATGGAGTAAGACATTTCAGACTGAAGATAACTAGAAGCTCAACAATGAGCATATGAAGTATTGAAATTAATTGAAGGAATTGAAGTTGATATTGCATATTTCTATCACACAAAATAAGATTAACACATGAATGAATTTTCTTGTTTACTATTTTTTTTTGTTTGCCTATTAGTCATATATATGGCTTTGATATTAAGAGTATCTGAACACCACAAGGTACTTGTCATGACTAATTTTTTTTATTGTCAAAGTAAGATGATTATAGATTTTAATCTTGTTTATCCAATTTATATGTTATAGTGTGTTTTTATTGTTTAAATATGTATTAGATACGTAAAAGTTTAGTCTTTGTTTGAATATGTTCATCAATTCTTTACAGTTTATCATTGTACCTTTTTAGTGCATTTGATTTATCTTATTCACCTCTAATGTTATTCTTTCATTTTAGGTAAGCTTCATCATTATGGGTTTTGCTGCTCTTATAAATAAGAAAATCAAATTCATTAAAAAGTACACGAAAAATTGCAAGTAGTATATGTCAATCATGGATTGGACACGGAGATCGGAATTGTGTTGTACGAGCTTCTGGCCATGGTGCCGGTTCCAGATCCCAACGAAGGTGACCAAGGGAGATCGCATGAGACGGAGGAGACGTTTGGGGAAGCGAACATGTTTTGTAGTTGTATGACGATGAATCTCTGGCTAAAGCACATGACCATAACCGCCGCCGCACTGTTCCAAGGCTCTGACCAGTGGACGGTGGTTCCAACTACAATCTCACCACCGGCGGGGACATGCCGGTCGATTCATCGTCCGATCCTCTTTGCACTCTGAGCAACAGTGACTCTGATCTCTCCTGCTAGAATGGTATCTTCATCTTCATTCTTAGTCATGACTCGAGAAAAGAAACTAGAGAGAGAGAGAGAGAGAGATTTGTTTTCAGAATTTTTGTTCTTAGGAATTGATTGACTTACCTGTGTTTAAAGGGACGCGCACAATTTCATCTTTTTTACTTCTTTGTTTAAGTTTCTGGCTTTTTGAATAGAGAATTCATCTCTTCTGGATTGAGTGCTCAGTTCAGGTGAGAGCAGAGTAGATCTTGTAGTGACCCGCCTTGGTTATTTTGCACCCAGGATTAGGCAGTTTTCCGCTCAAGTGCTGTAGATCTTTCTACGGCTCTGCAATTTCATTTCTTTGGTGTTCTGATTACTGTTGTAAAGGTCTCACCTTTAATAACAATTAAACTCTCAGGCAACTCATCAGTCATGTTTCTTTCTATCCTATGCGAACCTCTCTTTCTTTTCCTCAGCGATGCCAACGCTTATCTATCTATATATATATTAGAGACTTTTCCCGGGCTACGCCCGATTTTTTTTCTCTATTATAATTTTGTTTAGTTTATTATAGAGTATATTTGACTACATATTCTGTACTTAAACTAAATAATTTATATAAACAATTAAAAAAAAATTCATTTTAATATTGTTTTTCGTGACTAAAAACATTTCGTTTCGTTTTCGGTTAATGGTTTGTCATTCTAATTTCAAAATTACATTATATTAAAATTTATTGTTTCATACGTTTGAAAATATGTTTGTATCATATAATGAAAGCAGTATATACAATATTAATTTTTGTGACATATTTCCAATGGTCACAAAGGAATATAAATAAGATTTATTGTTTGCTTAAACTAAACCTTTGACAAATTTTTTTTATTTGTAATTTCAGATTTTTTAAGAATCTCTTTATTTCGATGTATCTTTATTTTGATGTGCACATCGATGCTTTTTCACATGAACACAGCTGTGTATTTTTCATATATCTTCCGTATTGGGGTAGGAGATAACTTTGCCCCAATTATAACTCTTTCTAGGTGGCAATTCGGTATTATATGAAATATTTTTTAAAAAAAATCCAATTTATATCATTCAAATCAGTATAAATTGTTCTAAATCGATAAAAATTGGTTCAGCTAGATCTAAATTAGTCCAAGTATGTAAATTAAGCAACAATGTTAGTATTAATTCACAAATATGTTTAATTGCTTTTGTTTTGTATAACTAAAATATCTTATATAAATGTAAAATATGTATAAAATAAATCAATAATTCATTAACATTTAGGCCTCACCTAAGTCTCGGATAATCCGTCCTCAATACAACGGCTAGTTATCGTCTAATGATTTTTTGAATAGTGGTTAAATTTATCAACAAAATAATCATGATGTGTTTCATACTTTTTTACTCTTCTTCATAGCCTAGAAGTTGAAGTCCTTCTCCATGATCTACACATCTCGGAATCATCTTAACCACAATACTAAATGATTATAACTTAGAGTCATAATTCGTTATGCAGAAGAAGGTTAATATTCTCATTTTAATACTACTTAGATTATATAACTTATGAGCCAGTCTATCAACAATCTGAGAGAAGACGAACGCTAAATTGCTAGTGACTACTAAAAAGTCTCCCAAAATTACAAAATATTGTACATGATAATTTCATTATGTTTTTTCTTACCTTTAGTTATTTTTTGTTAATGTTTGTTGTCGAGGATTTGTTTTTTTGCGTTCATTCATAATTGTGATTGTCTAAGACTGATTTAGATCTATCTAATTTATATTAATATAATAACAAAATGCATTAAAATAAATAGTAAAACAAAGCCCAAAACAATAAAAATTATTTATTGTATGTGATATACATATATATATATATATATATATATATATATATACAAAACATGATACTATTGGCCAGGAAAACATAAATATTTCATGCAGCTTATATACTTACTATTAAATTAAAGAGTTAAGCTTATTTTGTTAGATTGTTTGACATCTATAACTATCTCATTTATCTGTTGTGAAAGACAAAACCTATCATAAAAAAGTTTCTCACATGTCAGCAAACAAATCAGTCACGAACTTGTGTCAGTAACATGTATATACATTGCGAACAATCACAAAACTCAATGTGAAGATGTGAACTATAATATATAGCGGACCAAAAAATTAAACGACACTGGTTCTATTGCCATCTATCCCGACCCATCTTGCTGCCAGTGGACTTTAACCACTACTCCGATTGAAATCTCTGCGTTTGGTGTCAAGGATCCCAATAAATCTGGCTCCCAGTGGTATCTGTACTTATACCTACAATGATTATACAATTTAGAGAAAATATTGCAGAAATATCTTTAGAGATAATATAGTACATTTCTTACCGTAAGAAATATTTTTTTGTCATGGGGGATATCAAAAATCAAGAAAGCCTTGTTTTGGATCTGTAGGCTCACCTTTCAAGTGCTGCAAATAGTATATTAGTAATTAGGGTAATCTGGCTGGTAAACATATTTGGGTCTTTAATAAGAATCTGTGAGTGATTGGCAGGGTTAGCTAGTGCCACGGCAGAAGTTAGCTTAGAAATAGGGAGGAGAGGTGGCCTCTGTTGGTTTTGAGATGCATTGTGAGAGACTGCAGATGCATCCAATCGTATGATTCCTTGTGGAACAGATGATTCCACACGACTCAACATATTACCCACACCTCCCATGTATCTTCCATTGTGCTACATTATCTGCCCGTTCAAAATACAACCATCACACAAACCAAGTTGAAGATAATAAACAACCTTTTCCATAGAGATGATAAGGATTAAAGTTTACATACCGGTTGTTGATGCTGGAAGTGCTGCTTCATGTAAGGAGCACCACGCCTGAATCCAACACGAGAATCAGGTTGAGTTTGACTCTGAATATAAGGCATCATAAAGTTGGCCGGACCAAGCCCCGGACGCACACCAGGCATGAATTGAAGTTGGTAGCCATACCCCATAGGCTGTGATGGCACCATACCTTGACCTTTCTGACCCATGTACATTTGATGGTGTGGCCCTGCAGCTGGCCCTCCTGTTGGAGGATGATGGAACCCACCCATTGGTGCATTTGGTCTCATATGAGAAAGCATGGTCTGAATAAAACATAAGGATAATATTATAACCAGTTTCCATAAGTCATATAGTTCAGAGAGAGTGATTAAAAAAACTGAAGATGAGTCCTCATCTCTTCCTTGCGTTGAGAAAAAGCAATGTAAAGAGACTTCCTTCTTATCATCCCGTTCATTTCATTCATCTGTATAACCATAATCAGTACTATTAGTATGTATATGTTGATAAGTAACATATTGTGTATTTAGTTGAAACTTACAGCTCTTAAAGCTTCTTCAGGTTTGGAGTAAGAAACAAAACCAAACCCATTTGTTTAAACCTTCTGGATTCATCATGACCTAGACATGATCACAAACAAAACACTTTAGTTCAGTCTTTACAAAAAAGAAATATTTAAAAGATCTGTTTTAAAATTAAAAAAAAAAAAACCTTGCTCGAGGTCACATCACCAAACTCAGCAAACATCTCCTTGAGCTTCTCATCATTCACAATATCATCAATATTCTTCACATACAGATTCGTTCCTTTCTCATACCTACTTAACTTCTATTGCTCAAACTTCAAAGTTATTTCTGAAATCAGATCCAATAAAAATTGTATCGAGATCAGTGAAAGAGTTATGTGAATTAAAGAGAAACATTACCACATAAGGCATCCAAACACGGTTTTGGGATGTCATACGGCTCTTTGACACATACGCTTGATGTTGGTTTCAATAGACTTACTGGGAGCACTGGCCGATCGGTTTCACTATCTGTTTGGAGGAGCCAACGTCTCTGGAATCCGGACAGTGACGTTTCGTTTCAACCAGAGTGGATGACCCATCGGTCTTTGAGATCTTCTTCTTACCGACGGCGTAGAAGTTGTCTTTCGTTTCTTAGACTTGCAATCGTCAGAGCTTCGATATTGTGCATTGGATGCCATCGGGTTAAACTCTTGAGATAGGTTTGGGAAATACACAAAATCTCAGTCTCAATTTATAATGAGTTAGATGGATAGGGAGATGCGAAGAAGCCATTGAATGTGAGAGAAGAAGAAGTGATGGTACGAAATCGTGGAGGAGATGGATTTCGAAACTGATTTGTGAAAGGAGGAGGTAAAAAGATTGGAAGAAGATGAATCGTGAAAGCATGAGTGAAGCAGCATCGACGAACAAATAACCTAGGAATTACCGTCATGAGATTGAGATTGGAAGATGATGGACATGGGTTTCGTTTGTGGGCCTGGTGATTAATTTCGTTTGCAGCCCAAAGAACCAAGCCAAGCTGTCGCTGACATGGACAATTAAATCTCTCCTATTGGTTGAATATTTCTGTCGACGTGGACAATGGGAAAAGCCTCAAATAAGAACTTTTAATATAGTGTGATATGTATATTATATACATAAAGCACAAGTCCTAAATCCTAATCCTTTTTGGGCTTTAAATTTTGTAATCTCTTAACAGTTTGGTTATGAGACAATTATATAATCACCTTTTATGCCAAATTTTGTAATCTCTTACCTTATTTTGCAAATCATCTTTTGTGCCCATTTTTTTTTCTGTAAAACTGTAGCTATTATCATCTGATGAACATTATATAATCCATCTTATTGTATGTTTTCATCAATTTGAGTGTGAGCCTGACATGAATCAAAGTTTGGAAAAGTTGCATACTCATTATAATTAATGTATAAACATATAGATATAAAGATATCGTAATCAAGAGCTTAGCTTTTAAAAGCATTACGATACCTTTCTAGGTGCTGGGTGGTGTATATATGGACTTACAAAAACGAAGTTTATTTGCTAAACCAAAAACGAAAGTTTAATCTACTGATAAGCTATTTTTTTATTAAATATCCGGGGGGGGGGGGGGAACACTTGAGACGTTATTTTTTTCGAACGCTGAAGTTTGTTACACGATGAAGACTTTGCATAGGGTTGTGGTCCAGTCCATAGTGTACCACATATGACGACTGAGAAATAATGTCCTCCACAACCAGCTTTACATCCAGCAACCTCCCATGCTTTTCAAGTCCATAGACACAGAGACATCAAGAAGATAATTATTAGCCGATAGAGCCAAGAAACAACAGTTTCAGAATCTATTCCCGCTTTGGATCAGATGACACTTGTTTATTTGTTCCCAACATTCAAGCTTTTCCAGTTTACAAAAGAAACACATATTCTAGCTTTCCATGTTTTTATTCTTTTGTGGAAGCTTGTATATGTAAGCGTTCATTCTGTAACCACCTAACATTATGATATTAACTTTCTTAGCAAAAGAAAACTGCTTGTTTTGTGTGCAATATATAAGTTGCTATTTGCGTTCTTGTCTTGAGTGAAGAACGCTGCGCAAAGGGTCTCATGCTCAAAGTCAGATGGCATACTTTGACTTTTCTATTTTCCGCGTCGACCAGAAAAAGAAGAAGAAAATAAAATGAAATAAATATAAATAAAATTAATAATATTGAAGCTATACTAAAATTAATTTTTTTATTAATTTATAGTGATTATTAATTTATTGATATATTAATTAAATCAAAAATTTAATTTAAAACTATAACATTATATTTATTATAAAAAATTAATAAGTATTAATTTATAAAATATTAATTTAAAGAGGTTATACCGTAATATGTATCGGTTTTCATTGTCAAATACTCCCTCCGTTTTATATTAAGTGTCGTTGTAGAGAAATTTTTGCGTTATAAAATAAGTGTCCTTTTCGATTTTCAATGCAAAATTTATTAATTTTGTTATGTAATTTATTTTTCTATTGGTTAAAATATGGTTATGTGTATGGATATCTGTGTTTTTATATTGAAAATATGTAAAATTAATTGTTTTCTTAATCCGTAATGAAACAAATGGAGTAGTGACTTTATTTGGACAAGATATTTTAGAGTGGTATATAGTACTTACATTATAGGATTTTATTTTTAAACCAAATATTTCTCCAACAATTGTTTATAATAGACAAAAGTGCAATATTTTTACCAGGAATATATGTTGGGAGAATTACTGAATAGTCGTAAAAATAGAAAATAAAAAAAAAGATAGTTTAGTTTTTGAAGATCCGAAGAAGAATCCATTTTCATTTTTAAGACCAAAGGGGAAGAAGAGATTGAATTCAAATCTCTCTCTCTCTCTCTCTCTCTCTTCTCTCTCCCGTGACCCCCCCACAGAGATTATTCCAGATCTCATCATCATCATTCATTCAAGAGAAGGAGAGAAGGGAATCAGAACAATATGATAACGATCCCATACCTCACAGCCGTATCAACCTACTTCAGCTACGGCCTCCTCTTCGCCTTTGGCCAGCTCCGTGATTACTCCCGCCTTATCTTCGATTGGTGGACCACCAGCGATCTCCATGGATACGCCCCGATCTGCTTGGCTCATGAGGATTTCTACATCAGACGTTTGTATCATCGCATTCAGGTTTGTTTTGAATCTATATCTGAGTTATTTTGTAAATATGTGTTTGTTTGTAATATGATGATTCCTAATGTTTTGTTTTTTTTAATTTATTTATTCAGGATTGTTTTGGACGTCCCATCTCAAGTGCACCTGATGCTTGGGTTGATGTGGTCGAGAGGTTCTCTAATGACAACAACAAGACCCTCAAGTTAGTCTTCCTTTGCCTCTATTGTTTACGTTACGAGTATGTAAAGGTTGAAACTTTGAGAAGTTCCCTGCGATTTCATTTGAAACCTTATGTAAAGGTTGAAACTTTAGCGGTTTAGAATTGTTCCCCTTTGATTTCATTTGAAACCCAATTATCCCTTTGGTGTTCACAGATTGAAACCTTATGTAAAGGTTGAAACTTTAGCGGTTTAGAATTGTTCCCCTTTGATTTCATTTGAAACCCAATTACCCCTTTGGTGTTCACAGATTGAAACCTTATGTAAAGGTTGAAACTTTAGCCCCCCCTTTGATTTCATTTGAAACCCAATTATCCCTTTGGTGTTCACAGAATAAAACGTTATGTGAAATTTGAAACTTTGGTGGTTTAGAGTTAGTCACCTTTGATTTCATTTGAAACCCAATTATCCTTTTGTCTTTACAGATTAAAATTTATGTAAAAGGTTGAAACTTTGGCGGTTTAGAATTGTTCCCCTTTGATATCATTTGAAACCCAATTATCCCTTTGGTGTTCACAGAGTAAAACCTTATGTAAAGGTTGAAACTTTAGCGGTTTAGAATTGGCCCCCCCTTTGATTTCATTTGTAAACCCAATTATCCTTGGGTAATCACAAATTAAAACCTTATGTAAAGGTTAAAACTTTGGTGGTTTAGAATTAGTCACCTTTGATGGGTGTTCAAAGGATTCAACCTTTGGCTGCAGGAGAACAACAAAGAGCACAAGGTGTCTTAACTTGGGGTCTTACAACTATCTTGGATTTGGTTCTTACGATGAATTTTGCACCCCTCTTGTTATCGAGTCTTTGAAGAAATTCTCCCCGAGTACATGCAGCTCCCGAGTTGATGCAGGTTCAGTTTCTTCTACCTATTAGTTGATCAAAGACAATCTCCTCTTTGTTGCCTGACAGCAGTTTGTTTCTGTCATCAGGGACTACATCTGTACATGCAGAGCTTGAGGAATGTGTTGCTAATTATGTGGGGAAACCTGCTGCTATTGTCACTGGCATGGGGTACGCAACAAACTCAGCTATCATCCCTGTCTTGATTGGAAAGGTATCTATGCGGCTATTACTTTGTGAATGAACGCATAATGTTACTCCCAAAACCTATGTTTTTAGTAGCCTCTTTGCTGCCTTGTATACAGGGAGGGTTGATAATAAGTGATTCTCTGAACCATACTTCAATTGTCAATGGTGCTCGAGGTTCAGGAGCCACTATCCGCGTTTTCCAACACAACAGTAAAGCAATTCTTATGCTCCTTCACTTTCAACGTATTTATCCAAGTTGACTTACCTTTTTGATATCTTGTCGATTGCTTCTCAGCACCTGCGCATTTGGAAAGAGTATTGAAAGAGCAAATCGCTGAGGGACAACCTAGGACACACAGACCCTGGAAGAAAATTATGGTTGTTGTTGAAGGTATTTACAGCATGGAAGGGGAGATTTGTCAACTTCCTGAGATTGTCTCAATATGCAAAAAGTATAAGGTATAAACTATTATCTTTCATGTTCAGTATTGATAAAAATTTTAAAAACTCTTTTGCAAAAGAGTTCTTGTAAGCTAATCTCTCTAACTTGTTGTATATCATTGTTTCAGGCTTACGTTTACTTGGATGAAGCTCACAGCATTGGAGCAATTGGGAAAACTGGTAGGGGAGTTTGCGAGCTTCTCGGAGTTGACACAGCTGATGTGGACATCATGATGGGAACTTTCACCAAATCTTTCGGAGCTTGTGGTGGCTATATTGCCGGATCCAAGGTTAGCAATTAGTATTATACCTTTTGTATACAGAACAGATTGTTAGGTTTTGTATACAGAAGAGATTGTTAGGCAAGTAGTAGTAGTGCACGTGATCTCAAAATCAACCAAAGACATAATTAGCTGTGCTTTCAATTTATGTAGGACCTCATCCAATATTTGAAGTACCATTGCCCAGCTCACCTTTACGCAACATCAATCTCAACTCCTTCTGCGCAACAAATCATATCGGCCATACAAGTTATCCTTGGAGAGGACGGTTCAAACAGAGGTATCCCTATTAGTTTTATTTTGCTCTCTGATCTTCATAATCTTAAGATATATAGTCTAAAGATTCTAACTAAAACTCCTGGGCAGGTGCACAAAAATTAGCAAGGATAAGGGAGAACAGCAACTTTTTCAGGGCTGAGTTGCAGAAGATGGGATTTGAGGTGCTTGGAGACAATGATTCCCCAGTCATGCCGATAATGCTTTACAATCCTGCCAAAATCCCAGCCTTCTCAAGGGAATGTCTGCGAGAAAATGTAAGTTTCTCTCTTCTTATGCTTTCATTTGCTTTCCATACCCCAGAGATCCTAAAACCACTATGGTTAAAACTTGTGAACAGGTGGCAGTGGTGGTTGTTGGTTTCCCAGCTACACCTCTGTTGCTAGCCAGGGCTCGTATTTGCATATCCGCATCCCACTCAAGAGAAGATCTTCTTAAAGCTCTAAAGGTAAACAAAAAGCTTGCATTGAGTTCACTTGCTTTACCAAAGTAATAGAAAACGTGGATCCCTTTAATATACATTTGATGAAGCCTTAACAAGTTTTAAGCATAGTAGAAATGCTTTGAGTTCGTCCAGAAGATGATAATTGTGTGCGTGTTATATTTTGACAGGTTATAAGCAAGGCAGGTGACCTTACTGGAATCAAATATTTTCCGGCAGCTCCAAAGAAGCAAGAAGAAGAGAAAGGTACCATCAAACTGGATTAAACAGGGGAAATGGCATCATGAGTTTATCGTACCCAAAGTGGTTTGATTAGAGTACTAATTAGCATTAGTTCACTATTTTCCCTTGCGGTTCTTCTTCTGTTGGTGTCCCCTCTACTTGTCATGAAGTTTGTGGTCGTTCTTCTTTCATTTTGTTTCCTTGGTTTTGTCAGAGTTAAAATTGTATAGTTTACTTAATGAACAGATGCTATCGATATGACATTTTGTGCTTCACGAAACTATGTTGTCCTGATTGTTATTAAACTATACTCTTAGACCCTTGTGATTTTTTACCAACCAGAATGACAATCTTTCACATTTAACTCTAATCCACAACAAACTTGTAATCATTATATCCATGTCCCCAAAATGGAAGCTGTGTGAACAAAATAAACCTGAATTCGTCATTATATCTCTGTTCTGCTGATGCTGTGTAAATCAAAACAAAAACCTACGCACTTGCACATGTTTCTACATACTGAGATACCTAAACGCTTAACAATGCTAATCAAAAGCTAGACTGAACACATTCAGTTTCATCTCCTTCAGATTCCTATTACAAATCGGTATAATAGTCTACAACTATAACTATTAAGTTGCAAGTTCCTTATCATCAAGACCATCCATGGAAAAACATCTCAGGTGAAGCAAAAATAGAATCAAACAGTAAACAAAGAAACTTCTTACTTCATCTTCTTCTTTCCCACTTTCTACTTCTACTACTGTAGCTAGTGGTGGTACATTCAAACACAAAGATAAGAAACAATCAACAATTGAGATACTATAAGCAAAAGGCTTTCAGACATTACAAGCTTACACTGCCACCATGTCTGACTTATCTCACCAACAAACAACATGCTCCTCTTCTTCTCAACAGATCAAAAATCTCCTCTCTCTCTCTCTATATCACGAGAACTCTCTACCAAGCTTCTGAATAGCACAAAACATCTTCCTCCTCGACCCAACAGCACTAATCCCCATATCTCTCAAATCCTCCAAAGTCAACAACGGCAAAACCTCTTCATCAACCTCATGTATCTCAAACATTGGCCAATACCTCCCTAACCCCAACTCTTCCAACCAAATCTTCACCCCTTCTCTCTCTCCTCCTCCCGACAACTCAAACTCTCTGTTCCCACTACTCCCATAAAACCCTAAACCACCACCACCACCACCACCACCACCGTCTCTCCCCAAAGACTCCTCCTTTATCGGACTCTCCGAATCCTCCCTACTAAAATCCCTAAACCCACCTTCCAATTCCTCCTCCCCACCCCCCCTCGAAACCCAATTAGACCTCACCCGCTTCGTCGTCGACCCACCGACCCGTTTCTTGACCCGCCAGCTCCCAACACCCAAAGACTCCACATTTCCTTCCCTCTCGCCGGGATTCTCATACCCAGAACCCAAATTCGTCAAAGCTCGAGTCCTCGTCGAAGATTTGCTCACATCTTTTCTGGGTCTCCTCGGAGAATAATCGTACGCCGCCGCGGATTGGTACTGCTCGCCGCCGATTTCGCCTAATCGGACGCTCGGTCTCCTCAGCCGTTTCGATCCGGCGAGGGCTTCGGCGGAGGTCGACGGGAGAGACGGAGGAGCGGCGCCGTTGGGTTGTTGTTGTTGCTGCTGAGTGTTGTTATTGTCGTTGGTTAGTTGTAATTCGGACATTTCTTGGAAAGAGCGAGAGGTTTCTTGTTTCACTTTATTGGGCATAGAGGGGAAGATAGTTTGAGAAGATGAAAGGGTAAGTCTTTTTTTCCTTTTTTAGGGTTTTATATCTGTGGGAAGTCTGACGTGGGATGGATCGTCATCAGTAGAAATCGAAGAAGATAGATTGAGAGAGAGAGAGAGAGTGGGAGGGGAAAGAGAATGGGTTTTACTTCCTGACACGTGTACGTTGCTTACGCAGAGACTAACTAACAGTTGTTTAATTGTAAATAGATCCTTTCACTTCTGTTAATTTTATTTTTAACCTCTTAATTTGTTTTTTTTTAATTTTAAAATTGATTTCAATGGTAAAATATGTTTTGTGGAATTCATATATTAGTGGAGCTTGCTGGTTGCTAATTTTAATGGATTTATAATTTTAGACAAAATTTTATATTATTATATCAATAATTTTTTAAAAAATGTTAGATTTGGAAAAGATGTGTGAGTAAAAATACAAAGACATAAATCTGAAAAATCTTAGAGTATCTGGATTGTATGCACAAATAATATTGCCTAATTAACGATCTACCATTTGATATTATTAAAAACTATGCTTAAGAACTCTCATATCCTTATTGTAGTGTCTTTGAGCTACTTCAACTTTGCTTAATACTTTGAATCAAAAACTTATAAATTTACAAATTCTAATGAAAATTTACTTGTGAGATCTGGTTTTGGACATTACTAAACTTTACAAATTCTATATATAAACTTGTGAGATCTGCTTCACCATTAAATTTCATCTTCAATAGAAGAATTGCACCTGGTTAGAAAACAGTCCACAATGACTATGGTTTTTCTGAATATGTAGAAGTTATTAAAGTCTTGGCGTTTTGACCGAATTGCTGTTTGAAGAAAAGTCAGTTTCCAGGCTAAAAGATGATGACAGAAATGGCTGTATCTGCTTTGACTATTTCATTTAATTATTTAGAACTAACCAAAAGACTTTCCAGTAATTTATCTAGAAGGTCACTATCACACTCATTGCTTGTAAGCTTAAAGCACTGAAAGGTTACAGAAATGGACAAAGAATCTCAATATTCTCCAAGCTCCAGCCGATCATATCACATTCGGTATGTTTCTCTCCCTCTCTTCTTGGTATAGTTGATGGGTTTTGTATGTCTTTTTTTCTAACCTTATGGTTATAACCTAAGATTTTAGATGGATTGTTCTGAAGTCCATCTAGATACAGTAGAGTCACAAAAGTCAACGGATGTGTCTCATGATCAACACACACGAAAACATTTCCCCATGAATCTGATATACAACGGTGTACGCACTCGACGTCTAAGTTGTTTCCCTCAATGTAGTGGAGAAAGCATTGAATCCGTGCCAGAGTTCTTTACCAATCTCATAGTTTCTGATCTTTTTCACCTCCCTAGTGAATATGTACTGATGAACCCTGAGATTTTTAGTGCAGTGAGTGCAGGGAATAAAGAATGTCTCGAGAAGTTAAGAAGTTATGGAACGCCAATGGCATGTCTCAAGAGCAGTAGAGGAGATTCTGTTCTTCACCTTGCTGCTACTTGGGGTCATCTTGAACTAGTTAAGAGCATAGTTTCTGAATGTCCATGTCTTTTAATTCAGCCAAACTCAATGAATCAGATTCCTATTCATGCTGCTGCTCGTGCTGGTCATTTAGCTGTTGTTGAAGCTCTTGTTGCATCGGTAACATATCTTTCGGCTAGACTATGTGAAGAAGAGAGGAAGAGTCTGAATCTTTATGATCTGAAAGATAGAGATGGAGATACTGCTTTGCATTTGGCCTTGACAGGCCGCAACGTGGAGATAGCTGCGTGTCTGGTAAATCTGAACCAACGTGCTTCGTTTCTTGCAAATAAAGATGGAATATCTCCATTGTATTTAGCTGTGGAGGCTGGTAATGTCTCACTTGTGAAAGCAATGTTAAAAACTACAAACAGTAATGGACTTGAAGGGAGAAAGTATAACTTTAATTCACAGTTGGAAGGTAAAAAGTTTCTTGTCCATGTGGCTTTGAAGGGAAAGAATACAGGTTAGGTTTGTTTTTCTTTTTTTACCGTTTGTAGCTTTATTTAGTTTCATATTTCTCTGTTCATGTTTTATACAGATGTCATTGATGTTATACTTAAAGAAGATTCAAGCATTGGAGACGAGCGAGATGAAGAAGGAATGACTTGTCTTTCATTTGGAGCATCCATAGGGTTCTATAAAGGAGTATGCAACCTGCTAGACCGATCAACCAAGAGTGTTTACATCTGCAACGATGATGGATCTTTTCCAATACATTTGGCAGCAAAGAACGGCCACATCAGAATTGTCAAAGAGATTCTAAAACGTTGTCCAGACTCGAAACACCTGCTTAACAAGCAAGGTCAGAACGTTCTTCACATTGCAGCAAATAGTGGAAGATATCTACTTCTATTTCATTTCACAAACTGTGGTAAAACAAAGCACCTGGCTGTTGAGCAAGATTTGGATGGGAACACACCTCTGCATTTAGCTACCATGAAGTGGCGTCCACGAGCTCTTCCTTACCTTAGTAGGGTTTCAGGGAGCTTATACATGCGGAACAATAGTGGTTTAACAGCTCTGGATATTGCAGAGTCAAATGTGAAACCCAACTACATATTCCGGGAGGTATCTTTTCAGTTTTACATCAACCAATGAGATTGCTCTTATTCTTGACCCTAACAAAGTATTTATAAGCCTTTTGCTTGGATTAATTACAGAGGGTGACACTTATGGTCTTAGTATACTGTTATGCAATCAGAGAGTTTAGATTGCAATGGACCAAGAAGCTAACAAAACCATCAGAGCCTCTAAACTGTGGCAAGAACAAAGAGTACATCAGCGCGCTTCTACTCGTGGCAGCTCTTGTAGCTACTGTAACTTTTGCTGCAGGGTTTACCATACCAGGTGGCTTTAACAACTCTGCTCCAAACTTGGGGATGGCCACACTAGCCAATGACCCCAACCTCTTCTATTTTCTTGTTTTTGACACGCTTGCAATGCAAAGCGCCGTTGTGACTATAGCCACTTTGATTTGGGCTCAGTTGGGAGATCCTGCACTTGCTCACAGATCCTTATATGTGGCGTTGCCATCACTGTTTTTTGCTCTGTTCTGTATGCCATGTGCGTTCTATTTTGGGGTGGTTATTACAGTAGGGAAAGTTAGAGGTCTTGTAGTAGTTCTTTCAGTTATATCTATGATCTTCTTTTTGGTCATGCTCTTTGTCCTTGGCCCTCACGTTATTCTGCAGATACCTGGGATTCCTGCTTTCTTTGGTGTATTTTTCTTGCATTTTATGTGGTTTGTTAATGATGAGGACGACCATATATATCAGACCTCTGTAAAGGTAGCAAGTGGGGATCGTGTAGGAAAGTCAGAATGTTTATAAAAGAGTGTGTTTCTTCAGAACTATAAATGTGAGCTGTTTGATTCTGTGGGTTTTTATGTGTACAAAGAAATAAAGCGCCTATTTTGATGTTTGTCGATATTACTGAGGCTTGAAGAGAAGTTATTTGCTACAGAGAGCACGGAACAGAGAGTTCCTAGTTGATGTCAATGATCAAGATGTTTTGTGCAATTCATATCTTAGTGGAACTTTACTGGTTGCTAGTTTTAATGGATTTAGAATTTTAAACAAAGAGTTGACAAAAAAAAAATTTTAAACAAAGATTTATATTAATGGAACAATAGTTTTAGAATTTTTGTAAACTAATATGTTATTCACTTAGTGGTTGGCAATACTAGTAAACTAATGTTTGGTTCGCGCATAATTATTTATTAATATATACATTACTAATTAAATGATTATATTGATAAATTATTATTTATGTTTTCATTTGAATTTTTTTACATATTATAATTTTCTGAAAATTTATTTGTACAATATTGATTATTAACAAATCAATCTTAAAAAACACTCACTATTCTCTTTTCAATTATATAAAATTAAAAAAATTATTTGATTGATATTTAGTTATGTGTTTACTGATTTTAAATTTTGAATATTTACGAATAACAACATAATATATAGACATTATTTTATTTTTAATATATATTTTGAGCTTTTGGATAATTTTATTATTATTAATTTGATCACTTATCTAAACATATAATTTTTAATTTTCTTTTAATTTTTACTAATTTATATATTTATTTATAAACAATATTAACGTTCTACCTTTTAACGTGGAGAATTTGGATGCAAAAAATCATTTCGCAAACAATAGTATAAATAGATTTAAAAAGATGTTCATGTAAAAATACAAAGACGTAAATCTGAAAAAACGTATAAAATTTCAAATCCTAATTAAATTTTAATTTTTAGATTTGGATAACTAAACTTTACAAGATCTACAAATTATACATATATATATATAATATATACATATATTTTCAAATCAACTAACCTACATAGTACATAACAACTTTTTAATGAAAGAGATGTTCTTGTAACTATGTTGATGCAACAACAATTTTTTTTTTATTGTGCCATTGTACAGCAACTATGATTTTTTCCAACAATAAAAAGAGATTTTTCTGAAACTAGTAGAAGTTTTGGGGGTATATTCCTCAATACCTTTCTCACTAGTTACCGAATTCCAAATTTTTGTGTGAAAACAAAATCTGAACAGAAACTGAAAAAAAAAACGAGTAAAAAATCCTGAGAAAAACCCTCACTCAAAAACGCCGCCGTTTCCATCGCTTCCGACCAATCTTACCATCGTCTTCCGACCAATCTTACCATCGTCTTCTTCAGCAACAACTCAATCTCTCGTCTCCGTTTGTAGCTTTAGAAAACTACAGTCGCCTGCTTGGTTTCTGAACAAAAAGGAGATTCCTTTATCCCAAAAGTTCTCACCTTTTTGTTGTCATGTACCTGAAAGAAGGATGCTCACTACTCCTAAAAGTCCAAAAACCAATCATCCCCTTCGTCCTCAACACAAACCTCCTCTCTCAACCTCCAAACCCAACAACAAATCTCAAAGAATCACACGTCCTAAAACGCCTCAGACAAGAGCCATGTGTCCCTTTAGCTCTACACTTCTTCAAATCCATTACCAACTCAAATCTCTTCAAACACACACCTTTAACATTCGAAGTCATGATCAGGAAGCTAGCCGTTCACGGTCAGGTCGATAGTGTTCAGTATCTTTTGCAACAGATGAAGCTCCAAGGCTTTCACTGTTCTGAAGATTTGTTTGTTAATGTTGTTAGTGTGTACAGACAAGTGGGTTTGTCTGAACGAGCTGTGGAGATGTTTTATAGGATAAAGGAGTTTGGGTGTGAACCTTCTGTTAAGATATATAACCATGTTTTGGATACTTTGCTTGGTGAGAATAGGATTCAGATGATTTATAAGGTTTATAGAGACATGAAGAGAGATGGGTTTGAGCCTAATGTGTTTACTTATAATGTTCTTCTTAAGGCTTTGTGTAAGAATAATAAGGTGGAAGGTGCTCAGAAGTTGTTGGTTGAGATGGCTAATAAAGGTTGTTCTCCTGATGCTGTGAGCTATACGACTGTGATCTCGTCTATGTGTGAGATTGGTTTGGTGAAGGAAGGTAAGGGACTTGCAGCGAGATTTGAACCTGTTGTGAGTGTTTATAATGCTTTGATTAATGGGTTATGCAAAGAGGGTGATTACAAAGGGGGTTTTGATTTGATGAGAGAGATGGTGGAGAAGGGAGTGTCTCCTAATGTTATCTCATACTCAACGCTTATCAACGCGCTTTGTAGTTGTGGAGAAACCGAGCTCTCTTTTTCGCTGCTGGCGCAGATGTTGAAACGAGGGTGTCATCCGAATGTACATACATTGAGTTCTCTAGTGAAGGGTTGTTTTGTAAGAGGAACGAGCAACGTTGATGCTGTAGAATTGTGGAGATCAATGATCATAGGGTTTGAGTTGCAACCAAACGTTGTAGCGTTTAATACTTTGGTGCAAGGACTTTGTTCCCATGGCGATATGAAGAAGGCTATGTCTGTCTTTTCACACATGGAGGAAAACGGATGTTCTCCAAACATCAGAACTTACGGCTCTCTGATCAACGGATTCGCTAAAAGAGGTAGCCTCGAGGGAGCTGTTGACACATGGAACAAGATGCTAACTAGTGGATGTTCCCCAAACGTTGTGGTGTATACAAGCATGGTGCAAGCTCTTTGTAGACACTCCAAGTTCAGAGAAGCTGAGTCTCTTATAGATATTATGTCCAAAGAAAACTGTGCTCCTTCTGTGGCGACGTTTAACGCGTTTATCAAAGGCTTATGTGATGCAGGGAGGCTTGACTGGGCAGAGAGAGTGTTCATACTAATGGAGAAGCAGTACAAGTGTCCTCCAAATATTATAACGTACAATGAGTTACTAGATAGACTCTCAAAGGCAAACCGAATAGAAGAAGCTTATGGTCTCACCAGAGAGATCTCCAAGAGAGGTGTGGAGTGGAGTTCATCTACTTATAACACGCTTTTACATGGTTCATGCAATGCAGGTCTTCCCTGGATAGGTTTGCAGGTAGCAGGGAAGATGGTCGTTGATGGTAAATCTCCTGATGAGATAACGATGAATATGATCATATTAGCGTATTGCAAACTAGGGAGAGCTGAGAGGGCAGTTCAGATGTTGGATCAATGTGGAGGAAGAAAGTGGAGGCCAGATGTAATCTCGTACACAAACGTGATATGGGGTCTATGCAGCTCTAGTTGTAGGGAAGATGCAGTGATTCTTCTTGAGAGGATGGTAAGTGAAGGGATTGTCCCAAGTGTTGCTACATGGAATGTATTGGTTCGTTGTTTCATCATTGATGATAACTTGAGCTCATGATTAGTTTACCATATGGCAAGTTCAAACTTGTTCATTTTAGTTGGGAAGGCATTTGCTTCTATGTGTGACTTAGAAGCATCAACTGTGGTGGATATGTGGAAATTTTGTGATCATATAGAAGCTTTAGCTTAAGGGGTCTTCACTGGACTCTTCAAGAACTCACAAGATAACATTTCCATCGTTGCAAGAGAAACCAGACGGCTAATTTTTGGTATGTGACAACGCATTGCTGAGAGATTCCTAAAGCAAAAATGATGCGACAGATGCTCTTAAGCCATGCTTCAAGTGTAATATGATTATTTGGTCAGCACTTTTTGGTTTCAGTATGAAGATCCAATACGTCAAGAAGCTGCTTGAAACAAAATATTTCCTAAATTGGAGCTCAAGGAGATAGTTTTAGATTCTTCGGCCAAGATTTTGAGTTTATATTCGTTTGCGTATGATGAGTAAAACTATATTGGTCTGATATTGAAACCCTTATGAAAGTTTAGGTAAAGGTTACGGTTGAAGTTTATTTGAGCTTTACGAAGATCTTACGTGAGAGTATAATTTTAAACTTGATTATGTGCTAAAATTAGTCATGGAACAAAGGCAGTTCTATTTCACATTTACCTATATAACTCTCGTAAAGAAAGTTGCAGAAAACAGGATAACAAAAGAATCAATCCTAACCTGAAGAGATTACACGGAAAACTCTCATCTCGATTGTTCTTGAACACCTTCATATGATGGATTTGCTTTTGAATATTTCGTTTTTCCACTGAACCTGTTTCGTGCTTCAGTTTGTGGATAAAAATCGATTTGTATATAAGTAGTTTCTTTAGTCAGCTGGTGTAATGCAAAGCTGACTATGTCCTGGACTGTGCTCCAACGGGTACATTGTCGTGCTTCTCACATATTTTTGATGGTCTCTCACGGGTTTTCTCAGGTGTGAAACCAAAGGACGCTCGTTTTTGCTTCTCTTCTTTACTATCGAGCATGAAGCTAATGGGTCTGCAGATCCTGCTCCAACTCTCCTGCACGTTAATTGAGATTTTTCAGAGAGATGATGCAGATTATGTGCGCAAAAGAAGGAAGATGTTATTGATTACCTTAAGAGCTTCTCTGCTGCAATTCTTGCAGACCTAATTGTATTGCGGCTTGGCACCCATTTCACGACCCGGTTTGGATCAGCTCTCATGGGAGAGTGTATTTTAATGAGCTACAAACAATAATGAAGAGAATCAAGTCAAAACTAAAAAACTTGGAAGGGATCTCTGAATCTAGAATATATGAGCGCCACAGATAATGAAGAAAAACCAGAGACTTACACCCAAGCATTCCATCATCTGGTAGTAAGCTCTACCATGCAAAGGAGTATGCCCTTGTCGCGATTCTGAAAAATATCTAGTCCTGAAAGTTTATATCACAAGAGATAACTGTAACTGTCAAACATAAACATATCAATATGCAGACATCTAGACAAAGTACATGTAGACCTCATACCACTCTTTATAACCGGGATCAACAGTGAAACCGTACATATCCACTGAATCACAAGTCGAGAGAGCAAATTCAAGAGCCTTGAGCCCGGTTCCTTTGGCGGCCGAGCCAAATGAAGCACCAAGCATTAAGTATACAGGATTTTTTATTGGCACTTCCTGAAGAGAAAGAAGAATCCCCAAATGAGTTTCGAAGACAAGGAACTGATTTCAGATATTCAAAGCCAAAGAGCGAAGAGATAAATAAGTGCAGATGTACAAACCCGAATCATCTTGTTCATAATATCATGGATTGTTGTTTTTACCAGCAATACCTCTTGCTTTTTTTCTGCATCGTTTCAAAGGATCAATGAGATGAAGTATCTATTTCCAAGCATAAAAATGCGACACAACAATTGAATAAATGTAGAGAAACGCCAACAATGGCGCGTAACCATGAAGGAGTACAAAACAAGACAACAGTTATACAGTACCATCCAACTCCACGACTTTGTCAAGGGCTTTTGCTGACCCTCGATTAAGAAGACGGAATGTACTTTTTTCTCCCACATATTCCTTGTAGTTCTGCAAATGATGATGAGACAACAGAGGCAACAAATGAATTAAGAGTGATAGATCAAAACTGAGACAAGGGAGGAAAACAAGAGAAACTAGAAGTTAGAGAAAAGAAAAAAAGGAACTCATAACTAACCTGAATTGGAGCCCCATTTTCTCTAAGAACCACATCGTAAGTATCTATCTCCTTTCCGAACTTTGTTTTCAAAAGATCACCAGAGTTACCAATAACAGCACATCGCCCAAACTGCCGGGGAAAATACGGTGGCGTTTCAGGAAGCACTAACGAAAGCTTCTCGATGCATAAAGATTTATTCTGACAACGATTACTGCACCAGAGTCAACTTTCATTAAAACCATAAAACAAGAAGATAGCGCAGCATTTTACACTACAATTACTACTTGATACATTGTGAGTGAGACCATCAATTCTAGCAAGTCTTTTAAATTAAAACGTAACTATAACACTATAACAGTCTAAAGTAAAGTAAGTAAACACGTACAGTTGTATTCCTTTATTAATTCTGCGCCACGCATAATCCTCCCATCCATTTGGCAAGGCATCAATATATTCATTGGTGAGTATCGTAGAGCTATTCCTAACCTGGTCAACCAACTCCCAATCAACCCATCACTTCACTATACAAACTAAAAGTTCACACATGAATTAAAAAACTGGAATACCCACTTGTTCCCATGTAGCTACTGCTTCACACAAGTCAAACTCATATGATAGTCCTTCAAGCTCTCCAGACTTTGGATCTTTCTATTGAATTTCACATAAATCCAAACATAAAAACACAACTAAACACTAAGATAAGGATAATGACAAGCTTAAGTCACATAGTCAGAAGAGAGACTTTACCCATTTGGGAATAGTATCTTTGGGGAAGTTAATTAATACTTTACAATAATCTCTACCGGTAACAGCTTCTAGTCCCAATCCATTTGCACTCTAACATCATTCCATAACAAACTCTTTTTTTAGTCACACATGATGTTCACTGGATCAATTAAACACAAAGCTCTCTAAATCTGATTTTTTACTTACTACGCACTTCTGGAATCCGCTCTGCAGAGACTGCAACGCTTTTAGATCTTCATTGCTAAGCCCATTGGATTCGTCTGAAATCACGTAATCATTGAAATACAGACTACAAGGAATCTACAGTGGGAGTGAGGGTGGAGTGTGATGTATATACTTACAGAGATTTGAGACGCCGATAATGTAGATGAGAACAGCGGAGATTCCTGTTGTTAAAGCTAACAGGAATACCAATTGCAGAAGCTTCATTGATTTACTCAGGCTTCGTATTTTCTCTGGAGACGATGATCTTACTTCCAAATATTTTCCCGATCTGCGAAAGGAAACAGCGTGAAGTCTCTGTCCTAAAATTCGAGACGGCGAACTGTTTTTAATCAAAAACGCTGCGTAGTTAGATAAAAGATGCTTAAAAACCGCAGGTACTTCGTCATCACTATATACACTTTGTTATTGACCTTACCGCACACAGTCACTATCCTACATGTTGCATAATTTAGACCATCATTAGTAGACCAATTTTTTAACTAGAGTTTTTAGCTTTGATTAAGAGACGATTTTTTGTTTTTTTTTTTAGATTTTAACTAAGAAAAGTTAAGAATCATTTTTTAAATAATAGATATAAGATTTTCATGTCCCCAAAATTAAGAATTCCTACTAAAAGATCGGAGTTAATAATGCCTTTATGTTCTACCAAGTTTGTCAGACTTTTAGTGATCTACCTGCATTAGTCTTCACAACAAAACAAAACAAAAACATATCAAAACCAAAAGTAGCTACACATCAACATTGAGTTGCGAGATTGCTTTTAGCCAATACTAGTTGATTCCAAGAATCGTTACACATTAGTATCGTGATTGCAATTTTGCCTAGAGCTAGCAAGATGAAGTAGAGTAGAGCTATGGAGCTTGCAAGTTCAAAAAAATGTTGATCTTTTTGCCTATCAATATATCTCTCTTAATTGCTAAAATCAAACATAATGCGTTTCCATACGTAATTAGTAGCTCTGAGGATTTATTATGTTTGGTGTTTGAAGTAAGCATTGGTGTGTTCTCATTTTAGCAACTCAAGTCCAATAAAAGCTTTTAGGAAAAGAAAGAATAAACTTCAACTCAACACAAGCAAATGAATATCTCTAGAGTCTCCCTGCTCTTTCCTTCTACAAAACAAAAACAGGATCTTCCATGGCTTCTTCAGCAACACTACCACCTCCACTCTTACCATTCAACACAACCACACTTCCTTCACCATCAACATCAACAATCACTGAATCTCCATCCTTAATCTCCCGTGAAAGCATCTTCTCCGCCATGCTATCTTCCAACAGCCTCATGATCGCTCTCCTCAGCGGCCTCGCACCATAACTCGGGTCAAACCCTTCATCCACCACTTTCTCCTTAAACCTCTCAGTCACTTGAAGCTCAATCTCTTTCTCCTTAAGCCTCACCACCACTTCTTTAAGCATTATATCAGCAATCTCCTTCACTTCCAGCTTCGTCAACTGTCTGAAAACAATCATCTCATCTAGCCTGTTCAAGAACTCTGGTCTGAAATACTGTTTCAGCTCCTCAGTGACCAAGCTCTTGATCCTGTTGTAGCTGCTGTCTTTCTCGTCGTAGTCAAGATCAAACCCGATTCTTCTACCACCCTTTTCGATTACGCTGCTTCCTACGTTTGATGTCATGATCAGAAGCGTGTTCTTGAAGTCAACGGTTCTTCCTTTGCTGTCTGTTAATCTCCCGTCTTCTAGGATCTGAAGCATCATGTTGAAGACATCTGGATGTGCCTTCTCGATTTCGTCGAAGAGGACAAGCGTGTAAGGCCTGCGTCGAACTGCCTCGGTTAACTGACCTCCTTCCGTGTACCCTACGTAACCAGGTGGTGAACCTATGAGTTTTGAAACAGTGTGCCGTTCCATGAACTCACTCATGTCGAGACGGATCATTGCTTCTTCTGAACCGAAGTAGTAAGCAGCTAAAGCTTTGGCGAGCTCTGATTTCCCCACACCGGTTGGACCAGAGAAGATGAAACTTGCTATCGGACGGTTTGGGTTCTTGAGTCCGACACGTGCACGTCGTATGGCCCGGCTGATAGCTTTGACGGCTTCGTCTTGGCCAATGACTCTTGTGTGAAGTGTCTGCTCCATCTTGAGAAGACGGCTAGATTCATCAGAGGAGACTTTCTCTACCGGGATACCTGTCCAGGTGGAGACAATGTGTTGGATGTCTGATTCAGTTACAGTCGGTCCTCCTTCTTCAGCCTCAGTCTCAGCTTTGCTCACTTCTTTGCCTTTGGCTAAAACAGCAGCTATCTCGGCTCTAAGCTCTATTTCCTGGTCACGGTAAGCACCAGCCTGTTCGAGAAAAACAAACACTGTAAACAACAATCTTGGGTTTATAGACAGTAAGAAAAACTCGGAGACGATACCTTCTCAAAGTCTTGGCCTCTCACAGCTTCATTCTTCTCCTTAGTGATCTGTCTTAGTTGCTTTTCAAGCTCTCTAGCTTCCTCAGGGACCTAAAACAAACACAAAGTTCCATCCTGAGTCAACTCAAATACATATAAAAGAGAATCTTCTGGTAATGTTGAACCTGAGCATGGCGTAGTCGAACCCTAGACCCAGCTTCATCAATCAAGTCAATGGCTTTGTCAGGAAGAAACCGATCACTATTCATCCAAGAGATGAAACTAGGGTTGAGTAAATGCTGCAAACTTGTCTAAGAGACTTGTGTTGAAAACAGGAAGAAACAAAAAAAAACCTGATGTACTGATGTGACAATTGCGCAGCAGCAACCAATGCTTCATCAGTGTACCGGAGCTTGTGGTGGATCTCGTATCTTTCACGCAGACCGTGCAAGATCTGTATAGCTTCATCTACAGTTGGTTCAGGTACCTTCACAGGCTGGAACCTTCTCTCCAATGCAGGATCTTTCTCAATGTGCTTTCTGTACTCATCCAATGTTGTTGCACCAATACACTAACCACCATAAAAAAATAAACTTGAGTTTCCCATTTCAAGTAACATACATTTTGACCAATAAGAAGAACGATAATTTTTTTACCTGCAGTTCACCTCTTGCAAGAGCTGGCTTTAAGATGTTGGCAGCATCAATGGCACCTTCAGCGGCTCCTGCACCGATCAGAGTGTGCACTTCATCAATAAACAGAATTATATCATCACTTTGTCTGATCTCCTCCATTAGCTTCTTCAATCTTTCCTCGAACTCTCCACGGTACTTTGTTCCAGCCACAAGAAGACCCATGTCAAGGGTTATAACCTGTAAAGTAAAGGTAAACACCTTCTCAGCATCTTAAGAAAAATTATAAATGATTCAATGAGAGAATATTTCTTTACCGTCTTCCCCTCAATTGTTTCAGGAACATCACCACTAGCAATTCTCTGTGCAAGTCCTTCAGCTATTGCTGTCTTACCAACTCCAGGTTCCCCAATAAGACAAGGGTTGTTCTTGGTTCTTCGAGCCAAGATCTGGACCACTCTTTCAATCTGTGGCTGTCTTCCAACAACCGGATCTAGTTTACCCTGTAACACAAAGTGAAAAACCAAGTCTTAACATCCCACTTTCTTAAAAGTTTCTTCAAGATGAGTGTTCAGTAAGCCCTTTTGATTACCTCCTCTGCTAGTTTAGTTAAGTTAGTACCATACTCTTCTAGTGTTGGCATCTTGCTGTTCCCGCTGGATCCTCCACCAACGTTAGCCGTCACTTCATTGTTTTCTCCCACCATACGTATAACCTGAAAACAATATAAACTCAAAATGTAATCAAGAAACTGTTTCCCAAGACATAACATAATTGTGAGGATTCAGACCTGCGTCCGGATGTTACTAGCATCTAGACCCAAATTCTCCAGGACACGAGCTGCAACACCTTCCCCTTCACGAAGAAGACCAAGCAGAAGATGCTCTGACCCAATGTAGTTATGCCCTAGAGTTCAAAATGACATATAAAATTGTCAAATTGATAACAAGCTCCAAGGCTAAATACTAGTAAGAAGATTCAGGACAAGCTCTTACCGAGTTGTCGAGCTTCCTCTAGTGACAACTCAAGGACACGCTTAGCACGAGGAGTAAAAGGGATCTCCACAGCCACAAACCCACTACCTCTTCCAATAATCTTCTCCACCTCCACACGAGAATCCTTAAGACTGATCCCCATGGATTTAAGAACCTTTGCAGCAATACCAGTCCCTTCCCCAATCAGCCCCAACAAGATCTGCTCAGTCCCCACAAAGTTATGACCAAGTCTCCGAGCTTCCTCTTGAGACAACATTATGACTTTAATAGCCTTCTCGGTGAACCGCTCAAACATAGCCTTTGTCACACACCGGCTAGCTTTTCCTTTCCGTGATGTGATTTGAAAGTTAACTTTACTAAAGAAACCATGAGCGGGTCTCGCTATTAGATCCACTGAATTGGCAGACCTTAACCCTGAGAAGCTCTTGATGCTCATAACCGGTGTTTGCGAAGCGTACATCATCTTGACACATCTTCTTGGTTTTCTATATTCTTCGGACTGAAAATGTCTTCCGGGACCAAGTAAAGGACTGGCTGTGAAGTTAGCCACGAGCCTAGCCATTGTTGCAGAGTTGGAGGCTGCATTTGGTATAATGGTAAATCATAAGCTATAGCTCTATATAGAGGATAAGACCAAAATAAAGTTTTGGATTTCATTATGTGTAAAGAGAACGCAAACATCATTCAAAAGAAAGCTACGAGCAAGCAAAACGCTCTGTCTGAAACAAAATGCTAAGCCTTGCACTTATACTTCTAATTAAAATCAAAACGAGAGAAGACGCCAAATACAAGAAGTGTTATGATGCTAACTTACATTTAAATATATATATATATATTTATTTATTTTTTCTAAAAGAACTATTACTCTTTGGCTAGTTGTTGAGAGCATCAGGCAATCAAAGAGTTATCATTTTGGATACACAGAAAGATTCAAAGCTAATGATACTCATAACCAAGTTTACAGAAAGAGCTTTGGTACATAAATGCACCAACTCAGTTCACCAATTAAGAGCAGAACAGTATCACGAAGCAACCAAAAATGTTAAAGTCTCTTTCAGTACCAAACATTCAACTTTGAACAAAATCTCGAAGTAAACATTTTCTCAATTAATTACAAACGAATGAAGAGAACCCAGATTACTAAAACTCAATATGAAACCTAACAACCTGAGGATTAGAGAAAGTCTCCACCTTTATGTTTCAAAGTTAACACAACAGAGAAACAGAAACCTAAGCGCTTCTTTCAAAACAGAGTGTAGTGGGCAAAGAAGAGGGTTTTAGGGTTTTACCGTTTACGCCTTTGGGATAGAGAAGTGCGAGAGAGACTGTTTTTAATGGTCGGCCCCGTCTAGGGAAAGAGATAGGTTGCGAAAGACCGAAACAAAGAAGATGTCTTTAGCTTCTCTCTCCCTTTTTATCACTACTTCTTGTCTTCTCCACTGCATCGCCGCCTTACCCACCTAACAACTTTATATCTCAACCATTAGATCTCTTAAGAGCATTTTCCACCGTCGGATTCACTTACTTTTTTGTAAAGTCAACCGCTAAATCAGTGCTTAAGGATAAGGGTTTTAATGTCGAGACACACCGGTTTTCGTCGAACCAAAAAATAATAATTAAAAACCGGTTTTGTCCAAACCAATTAAAAAATCAACCGCTCCGTCTAGAATTGGGACAAAATCGACTCTGAAATTTTGGGGACCATAGACTATTTAATAAAACTATTAGTTAGATTTTTTTTTATATAACTAAGAGCATTTTTCTATAAATTTGAAAGCCCATGTAAATGTATTTTTTTACAAAAAAAGTGAAGATCCTAGATCAATGTCTATCAATTTTAGTTCAGATTAATCCGGATTGGAACTTTAGTATTCGAAGCAGTTCTGAGATAAGACCATTTTTCGAATCGGTTCCAGATAAGACCATTTGAATTTGGGTAAATCAGATAATTAAAAACTGTCCACAAGTACTTGGTCGATTTACGATTCGGTTATGGATTGGCTTCAATCTGATTCGGTATGGATCGATTCCGGTTATGGATAGATTGGAATCGATTCCGGGTTGATTATACAACTTTAAGACCATCTCCATTGTAGGGTTTAACAAGGGTTCTTTAAAAAAAAACCGAAAAAATAAATTAAAAAAAATGAATAAAAATGCAAAGAACCAATGTTAAAAACAGGCCTTTTGGAATTGTTAAAAACTCCTACGTGTTACATTTCTAGTGTTGGCATCTTGCTGTTTCCGCTAGATCCCTCCACCAACGCTTGCGGTGGTCACTTCATTGTTTCTCCAACCATACGTAAAACCTGAAAAAAAACATACTCAAAATGTAATCAAGAAACTGTTTCCAGAGGTATATACCTGCGTCCGAATGAAACTAGCATCTACACCCAAATTCTCCAGGACACGAGCTGCAACACCTTCTTCCCCTTCTCGAACAAGACCAAGCAGAAGATGCTCTGTCCCAATGTCGTTATGTCCTAGTTGTCCTGCTTCATTTAGTGACAACTCCACGACACGCCTTGCAAGAGGAGTAAAAGGGATCTCCACAGGCACAAACCCACTACCTCTTCCAACAATCTTCTCCACCTCCACACGAGTATCTTTAAGATTAATCCCCATGGATCTAAGAACCACTGCAGCAATACCAGTCCCTTCCCCAATCAGCCCCAACAAAATCTGCTCAGTCCCCATAAAGTTATGGCCAAGTCTCCGAGCTTCGTCTTGGGACAGCATTATGACCTTAATAGCCTTCTCGGTGAACCGCTCAAATATAGCCTTTGTCACACACCGGCTAGCATTTCCTTTCCGTGATGTGATTTGAAAGTTAATTTTACTAAAGAAACCATGAGCGGGGCTTGCAATTAGATCCACTGAATTGGCAGACCTTAACCCTGAGAAGCTCTTGATGGTCATAACCGGTGTTTGTGAAGCGTACGTCATCTTCACACATCTTCTTGGTTTTCTATATTCTTCGGACTGAAAATGTCTTCCGGGACCAAGTAAAGGATTGGCTGTGAAGTTAGCCAAGAGCCTAGCCATGTTGCAGAGTTGGAGGCTGCATTGGGATAATAAATGGTAAAAAAAACATAAGTTCTAGCTCTCTATATAGAGTAAGACCAAAATAAAAGACAACACGGAAGAGAAAGCAAACATCATAATAAAGGAAAGCGACAAGCAATCAAAATGCTAAGCCTTTCACTTATATTTCTTATCAACATCAAAACGAGAGAAGACACCAAATCCAAGAAGTGTTATGATGCTAACACAGAGAGATTCAACGCAAATCATCGTTTATAGAAAGAGCTTTAGCACATAAATGCACCACTTAGTTCACCAATTAAGAGCAGAACAAGCTTGAACTTCGTTTCTTATCCCCAAAGCATTCAACTGAGAAGAAGCAACCAACATGGTAAAGTCTCTTCCATCTACCACCAAACATTCATCTTTGAACAAACCGATAAGCGAATACACAACCCTAATCCCAAAGTAAGCATTTTTAAATCTCAACTTAATAGAAGAAATATTACTAAAACTCAAAATATATATGTTTTAAAGTTAACACAGCAGAGAAACAGAAGCTGAGATAGGATAACCGAGTATAAGTCCCAAACTAGTAACCCTACTTGCAGACTAGAAGGAAGGGGATGCACAGACCTAGGAGTTGACCACGTAGGAAGAAGGATCAGCTCAGAGAAGCTGAGATCGTTGATGATAATGGCTTGCTTGCACAGAAAGTAATAAGAGAATGAGATGAATGTAAAACTTTGATTCTTATTATTAAAACTTGTGAAGGCTAAGCCTTTATATAAACCTCAAAGTTCCTAAACGTTAAACACTTTGTTTGGATCATTATCCTAACAAGTTTGATAATTACCCAGTAATAAAACTAATAAGATTACATAAAACGTAATGAAGTTGGTTTAGTGGAAACGGTGGCGTTTGTGGTGTCACAGAAACCTAAGCGCTTCTTCCAAAACAGAGTGTGGAGGCAAAGAAGAGGGTTTTAGGGCTTTTACCGTTTACGCCTTTGGGATAGAGAAGTGCGAGAGAGATTGTTTTTAATGGTCGGCCCCGTCTAGGGAAAGAGATAGGTTGCGAAAGACTGAAACAAAGGAGATGTCTTTGGCTACTAACAGATTCTGGAAAATATTCCATTATTCATTGTTGATAAGTTAGAGTAGATAGTGATCAATCCCTAAGATATCGTATGTAATCTCTGTAACAACGTTGGTGCCCAAAAAAAAAAAAACTCTGTAACAACGTTGTATATATATTATCGATGAAAAAAAAAAAAAAAAAATATATATATATATATATTATCGATGAAATACAACTAAACATTCAAGGAAAAATAATCTTCTTTCAGTCACTGCATCGCCGCCTACCCACCTAAAAACGTTATATCTCAACCATTAGATCTCTCAGGAGCGTTTTCCACCGTCAGATTCGCTTACTTTTGTTAAAGTCAACCGCTCGTCTTTAAAGGATAAATAGATTTTGACTCGCGCTTGAAAGCGCGAAAATTTTTTATGATTAAAAATTTATAATTTTGGGTTTTGTCTTAATTTAAAGAATATTTTGATATAAAATCAGTTCACCAAAATTTGTGGTGATGATTGTTTTTCGTTAGTTTTTAGTTTCAGATTTTATTTTTAGATTTTGGTTTTTGGTTTTTAGTTTTTAAGTTTCTACTTTTCATTTTCAGTTTTTGGTTTGGGTTTTTAATTTTTAAACCCGGTGAGTTAGTTTGAACTAATATTACCAACAAACAAATCTCAAATAATCGAACATCTAATTTAAAACTGAAAAGATGATAACAATTTTTTTAAAAAAAAATTGAAATAGTTTATTTCGTAAATAAACAAAGCAAAAAAATATAACATGTGTTTTCAGCTTTTGGTTTTGGATTTTAGTTTTTAGATTTGCTTTTTGGTTTTGCTTTACATTTTTTTAATCAGTAAATTATTTAAGAAAAATAAAACAATAAATTATTTAAAAGTTACCATTGAAATTTATCAAAACAAAGTGATTGTTATTTAAAATAAAAAAATATATTAACATGTTTTAAAGTACATGATTTAAATAAATGATTAATAATAGATAATTTTGTTTTGTTAAAAATATT